ACTTCATGCCCCAGTTACCCATTTTTTCCTCCCTGAAGGCAACCACTGAGTCAAGTTTCACAGTATCTATTTGGAAATAGTTTATTCATATGTTGTTGTTGTTAATTGCCATTGAGTCAGTCCCAACTCATGACAACCCCAAGTGTGCAGAATAAAACTACTCCATAGTCTTTTAAATGCTGTGACCTTTCGGAAATAGATCGCCTAGTTCTGTACCTTACTTTGCTTTTTTTTTTTTTTTTAACGAGATTGCTTTTTAAAATGCAATGTCAGAGTTACAGAAACTCCTTTACTTAGGAACAGGTTTAAGTTCCTACGCACTGTTCTAAGTCCTTTCTACTCCCCCCCTCCCTCCGAAGCTCACAAGAAGTCCAAAGTGACATCTTACAAATGATCATCATCCCCATCCATGGTGGGAGATGGAGTTGGCGTGCTCTTGCTTGGGGAAACATCTTTGTTTGTGAAGTTAGTCATGTGAAAGTTAGTAAGTTAGGATGTTGAAAATGAAGGGGCTTCTGTGCCTTGTCAGCATTTAAAGAGAGGGTGCCAAATCTTTAATTTAGTAATCTATGAATGAAAGTATCCTGAAGATGATTGGAAGGCACCAAAGTTTATTTCCATGGTTCCTGCCATTCAGAAAGAACCTCAGAGAGAGGAAGATGACCCTTGTGTGGTGCTTCTTCCTTCCAAGGCAAGAGCTGGCCTGGGGGACAGTAGGTGCTGGAGGGTTAATATGGGAGGCTTCAGCCTTCTCCTGACTTGGTGATCTCCGAGGCAACATGCTTTTTTAAGTAAAATTTTTAGAGATAATACTCATGCTTTTATAGCCCAGTGGAATGGCTGTTTTTTTTTTTTTTTCCCCTCGTAACTTGAGGCCAGTAGGAAGAGATGTTGGCTGCCACATCAGGCTGTGAGGAAACTATTTTAGGGTCAATAGGATCATTCATTCCTCCTCAGTCCATATCCTCATCTCCTTGCCTGTGAATGGGCCTGTGTGCACTGGGTTCCTACCTGATCTCATGCTCACCCCTCATGCTTGTGTTTGCTTTCCCCTGTCCTTCTATGTATTTTCCAGGAATAGCTACTTCTTTTTGATTTTTTTAACCTCTTATAATTAGAGATTACAAACTGTTGCTGAAATAGAAGCATAGACCCAGCTTCCCTTTTCCACCAGTTTTGAGTGCCAGGATTGTATCCTTTCACTATACTTAGTCAGTCTGTATGGTGGGCAAATTATCTAAGAAGCTGGACTATATAAAGAACGGGGCATCAGAATTGGGTATCACTCATTGACAACTTGTGATATGCAGATAACACAACCTTGCTTGCTGGAAGTGAAGAGGACTTGAAGCACTTGCTGATGAAGATCAAAGACTACAGCCTTCAGTATGGATTACACCTCAACATAAAGAAAAAAATTCTCACAACTGGACCAATAAGGAGCATCATGATAAACAGAGAAAAGATTGAAATTGTCAAGGATTTCATTTTATTCGGATCCATGTCAAGACCCGTGGTAGCAGCAGTCAGGAAATCAAAAGATGCATTGCATTGGGCAAATCTGCTGCAAAAGACCTCTTTAAAATGTTGAAAAGCAAAGATTTCACTTTGAGGACTAAGGTATGCCTGACCCAAGCCATGATATTTTCAGTCGCCTCGTATGCGTGCAAAAGCTGGATAATGAATGAGGAAGACTGAGGAACTGATACCTTTGAATTATGGTGTGTGTGAAGAATATTTAATATACTGTGGACTGCCAAAAGAAGGACCAAGTCTGTCTTGGAAGAAGTACAGCAGAGTGTTCCTTGGCAGTGAGGTTGGCAAGACTTCGTTTCACATACTTTGGACATGTTATCAGGAGGGACCAGTCCCTGGAGAAGGACATCATGCTGGTAAAGTAGAGGGTCAGCGAAAAAGAGGAAGATCCTCAACAAGATAAACTGACACAGTGGCTGCAACAATGGGCTCAAGCATAACAATGATTGTGAGGATGGTGCAGGACCGGGCAGTGTTTCATTCTGTTGTACATAGGGTCACTGTGAGTTGGAATCGACTTGATGGCACCTAACAACAACAGCAAGTATTCTTCTCGTCTACTCTTTCCATAACCAAAATGTTCAAGTGCATTAATCAAAATGCTCTTTTCTCTCTTAGTCAGAGTAGATGTTTAGTTACATCATTTTTTTTTTCTTATTTTGAGTGACCTCCTGTAACAGTAAATAATATTTGAAGATGAAAACTCCCATTCAGCGTGGAACCATCCCTTATTATTTTAGAGGGCAGAATCGTTGATTGATGTCCTGCTGAAGGAGCTGGCTAATTTCAGACCAGGTACAAACGACTCCTGGATCTGTTCAGTACTTTTTTTTTTCTCCGTAGTGATCAGCCTCTATGTTTGTTTTTGTAATACGTGATCTGCATAAATCCCCTTGAATTTGTACTTAGCCTTAAAGCATTATGAAGCTGTCAGTTCTGCAGTGTTTTTGGTGATCATGTCCACAAAATCTGCCTTGTGAAATTCAGAATAAGTTCATTTTATAGTTTCAGGGATTATAATTTGTCATCCGGGTTGGAGATTTTTGTACCAGAGTGAATAAAATAACACCCCAAAATCGGTCAGCTAGCAAAGCTGGCCTGCTTATCAAGATCCTGCAAATAAAGATAAGTCATTTTTTCTGCTTTGCTTCACAGTCTGTTACCTAGCTGACTGTTAAACCTTAGAAAATACCAGATGGCATCCTAACCTGAGAGGGATTTAGGGGAAGATGTTTATTGAAAAATTACCTGCTCACTCACTAACCACTAATTTGTTCTATGGTGCTCTGCCATAGGAAGATTCACGCACTGCCAGTTGCTCCAGCATTTAGAATGTGATACTAATGAGTTCATGACCACAGAGTTCAATCCTTATGTGTATCACCAAACTTTTTCTGTTTTAGCAGTCCTTTTGCACACTACTTAGTTTTGTTCCTGCAGAATACATGCTATTGGTCTTGGAAGAAAGCAAGTGGGAGAATAAGGCTTGCTCAGATCTGTGCAGCTATTAACTATTTTAAAAATAATCCCAGACCAGTGTTAGCGTTCCAGAAGATCACTTGCTGAGCAAGGAAGGGCATTGTTCTCAGGGAAGTGAAGTAATAGGAAAGCTAGAACCCATGCATAGGTCATCTTGCTGATCCTCAAGCCAATCACACTCATTCATGGTTCCATGCTTTTGCGCCTCATCACCCCTAACTCTCTCTAATCTCATTTTTCTCATAAGACCTGTTGGTTCCATGAAGCCTTTCTGATTCTTCCATGTCTTTACAAATCTTCTTGGTCTCCAAACTCTTGTACCCAGTGCTCTTCCTTATTAGTGTTTGTCTTCTGTATTTTTGTCACGCCTGTGGTTGTCATCTCACCAGCTACATTATAAAACAACTTCTAGAACAGGAACCTTTTCTTGATGTTCTCGTAATGTCCAGCACAGTACTGGGGATGGGTTGTTGTTGTGTGCTGTCGAGTCGATCCCTACTCATAGCAACACTATATGACCGAGTATAACTGCTCCCATAGTGTTTTCTAAGCTGTAAATCTTTATGGGAGCAGATCACAGGTCTTTTCTGTGAAACCGCTAGTGTGTTGGAACCACCAACCTTTTGGTTAGCAGGTGAGTGCTTAACCATTGTGCCACGGGCGCTCCTAATGGGTACAGAGTAAAAATCTTTTGGTTGATATTACTAACTACATTGTGAATCACTGGATTGATGAACGTATCATAGAACTCATTATTTTATTCCATGATGGACCTTTTTTTTTTTGAGATTTAGTATTTGGCCATTGATAGGAAAAGTGTAAAAATATAAATTCTTAGAAGGGGATTTTTCTTTAATCATTGTATCTTCCCTTAAAATACTCAAACCAAATACTCTGCAGAAGGCCATTTGATACCGTCAGGAAAACTCAGTGAAAGATCAACTTCCTTGGGGAAATAAATTGAGCCAATTATTAATTAATAGCTATTAATTAATTATTAATTAGTAATCCAGGGTGGCTAAATTGAGACAGGAACTCCATTCCTGTAACCTAGGAGTCTCCCTCTGGGGTCTGCCCATCTGCATTGTTACCTATATAGAATGACACCTGGGGAAAAATGCTTCTCACACTTACACGTCAGTGACTCTGATGCTCTGTATCCAGAGAAATTCCCATTACTGTAGGATTTATTTTTGACACACTTGGGCTTCATGCTGTTTGAAGTTGTAGTTACTTTGGAAGAAGCATAATTGGCATTTATACACTTTTTATCAAGCTCAAATTATCAAAACAAAATGTATAAAATGTATGGATTTTAAGAGGTTATGAGATGTACATACATCAGTGGTTCCTAAATTTTATGCCTGTCTATTGGCTGCATTTAAGTCACTTGGAAAACTAAAATAATAATGGATTCCAAGACCCTATCCCTGGGGAGTCTGCTACAGTAGGCCTGCATGCTTTGCTCAACTGCTTTTTCTCTATTTTCACTGACAGCTGCAGCCCATCTGTATTGTAGAGGTTAGGGTGAGGCTTTAGAATCAGACAAGTTGGGTTTGAGTCCTGACTTTGTCATTTCCTGTCTGTAACCTATGGCACACCTCATCTGTAATGTGGGGACAGGAATTTCTGCCTCACAAGGCTGATGTAGGGATTAAGTCAACAACACAAGCACGAAATGTAGCACCCTGTCCAGCACATTGTGGAGCACCTCAATAAATGTTAACTACTTGTATTCTTATCTCTACATGTATTTTGTCCGTCATTTTTTCTGATATGTTTGAGATTTTCTTCAAAAGTTTCAGAGAATCATATAAAATCAAACAGGAATTGGTATAATAAGTTGTCTCTGATTGGAAAGGAAGGGATCATTCAAGAAGTCATGAGTAGGATTGCCTGAGAAGCAGTGTGGAGGATTTCTTCCACTGATTCCTGAATGACTGTTTTAGTGTTAAAATTATTGTTTTTCTCAAATTGATTTGCAGCGGAGATAAAAATCTGTTTTAAATACTACCACGGAATCAGTGGAGCCCTGCGAGCCACAACACCCTGCATCACTGTGAAGAACCCTGCTGTGATGGTGAGTGCCCTCATTGCTGGCTTCCTCATCATGACCACAGAGGAACTTGGTTTCTATTTTTGCCTGTGCAGCTCTGACAGGGTTATGAGGAACAATGGAAAAGGAAATGCGTAACAGCATGGATGCCATTTTGGGAAAGGAAATAACTTACAAGGCAGGCATACCTGAATCCATAATACAAATCATTGGAAAACTATGGCCTGTGTATAGTCAGCTCTCCCAGTAACCCACTCATGAGATGAAGTAGTGAGTGTCTCATCATGGAAGGTTTTAAACTTAGTCTGAATGACTGGTTGATTACAAACAGGGACCTTGCATCTTACATTAACATAATGTAATTAATTTAATTTACACAAATTCAGCTGTACTTTCTTAAAATAAAAAAGAGTGAGTAGAAGAGAGAAAAATAATAATTTAAACAGTATATGATTCCACTTGTCAATCTAGTTGAGAAGCTCTTGTTCCAAAGAGAGTGTGAGATTGAAGTCACAAATGTGCTGTCTTCTTAAGAGATCCTAGCACAAGATCCCTCTCCATGCTGAGTTGGAGTCTAGTACCTAAAGATATTGTCCATATTGTTAGTACAACACAGCCACTAAATGGAAGCCAAACTCTTCATCAGGTCCTCAATTGAAGAAACAGTCATCTTATATAGTTTGGGAGGAAACTGGTTGTGTTGGACTTCGTAAAGAAAGTATGTCCATTGATAACATGACACTTTCCTAAACATTATTTTTCATGCTGTGATTTTTCACTTGATAGACCAACTTTGGAATCTTACAGCCTTACAAGATGCAGCTCCATTGTACATTGGTGGTTGGAGTCAGATGGTCTTTGGAGATTCTTAGAGTTTAAGATCTGTAAATCATTGCAGTTTTTATTAGTCATTCATAAAACTCAGATCATGAAAGTATAGGAAAAAAAATATTGATTCCTAGAACATAAGATGTTTACAACATTGTGTGTGTGTATCCAGACATTTATAGATGTGTGCATTTTTGTAAATAGGCAAGTGGCCTAGGTTGACTCCCTGAAATTCAGAAAATAATCTCTGCAAGTGGCATTTTGAAACTGTCCAGAGAGACCCACCCAAAGTTTTCCATAATAGTGCCTGTCTCTGTTCTGAACTGTCTTTTCCTTTCATTTATTCATTTAACAAATATTTATTGGGTGCCTACTAAGTGCCAGGCAATGTGCCTGCCGCTAGGGATAAAATAATGAGCAGAAACATAGTCCTTTCCCTTACTGATCTGGTGGGAGATACATCAATCCAGATGTATTTGTGTGAGTGATAATTGCTATGAGGGAGAGTGAAATGAGGCTGAGAGAACACATACTAGTGAGATTTGACCTAGTCAGTAAGGTCAGAAAGGCTTTCCTGAAGTAGGTGTGTTTGAGGGCAATCTGAAGGACTAGAAGTTACTTACATGAAGAAGGGAGGCAAGAGCATTTCAGGCAGAGGGAACAGTATGTGCAAAATCCTCAAAATGTAAGTACTCTGCTCACATTAGAATTATATTTTAGTTCCTACTTGTAGCAATATAGTATAGAATATGAAAGGATAGCCCGTGTTTAACTGTGTAAGACTTCGAAGGTCACAAGGAGAATAAAGAAAAAACTTTAGTTAATATTCTAAAAAGATAAGTTGTAAAACTAGAAAGGTGAGGCTGTTTGTAATAAACCCTTTGCAGACTTAACTGTGTGTGACGTTAGACAGTGGCTTCCAGACTTGGTTAAGCATATTCCAGAGTCAGAGTTTCTTAGACTTGAGCAATTTCAATATCCAGATATCATTGAAGACAGTGGGAGTTTACAGCCTGGTGAACATTGATCTCATTCTGTTGATTTTGCATTGAGATCATTGTCAAAGCCTGTCGATGGTTTAGAGATAATTAATTTGCTTCAAACAGATCTTAGAGCCCTTTAAAAAAGCTTCATAGATAAAGCACCGAGAATCAGAACACTCTGGGTCAAAGGCTAGCTAATGGAATTGGTGGTCAATAGATTTCTGACCAAGCTTGAGACAGTTGGCTCTGTATCTGAAATTGAGAGGCTGTGCCACATAGACCCTTCATTGTGTGGGTGAGCACAGTGTTTCTACAACAGCATATTGGTCACATGGGTATATGACATAATGTGTTTAGTTATTGTTAAGGATTAACAACACTGATATCCACAAAGCCCATTTAGTATAATTATTGTACAGCCAGATGCCAAGAATAGACCGACAAGAAGTAACTGAGAAACTCCATGGGGAAGGAAATGAGTTGCCATCCTAATCATATGGTCTCCTTTCTCACGTATCCTTTTGCAATGAATCGATCAAAAAAAAAAAAAAGTGTCTTCTCTGTCATTTGTGCTTTGACGTCACTATCATTCATTACAGTACATGGTAATATTTGTCTCAGACTCTTGGAACAGGAAATCCTTAGACTTCGGGGACAGATTAAGGCTGCCATCACTCACTACCATGTACTGTTTCAACACTTTGTTAACAATGTTGCATCTGAGTTTTCCTGGAATGAATCTATCAGTGAGTTTATTTAAAAACCTTTCTCTAAACATTGAGTACAGATGTGTTTATTATCACTAATGTCCCCATATCTAGTTGTAATGTTTGGTCTTTCCTGGATTTATTGTGATGTATGATAAAATTAAATTCTTTCCAAATTATTTCAGATGAGCATGTTGCCACTGTCGTGGTGAAGGACAGTGTTTATCAGTGGATCCTTTGAGACCTGTTTCAGTTTAGCTTTTTGCCAGCTCATGAATCACATTTTAGGACTGAGAATTAGAGGACTTTTTTTTGTTTCTTGTAATTCATGATAATATTTTAGGTAGGTTTTAAATGAAGACAGGCTGTGAATCTTTTCAGTCTTATTTAACTCAGCTTAACTTATTTAACTTAGCTTACTAGGCAGTGTGCCTCATTTGCGGTCATACCAGGGTTTGTCGGATGCCCGGCTGTGCCCAGGGTGCAGTAGGGGCGGGTTTGCTGAGTGTCTGTCTCAGTTGTAATCTGCACTGTCTCGTTGTTTACCATTCTCTTGTCTAGGGAAGAGGCCTAGATAGTCACAGCAACCACTTATCTGACCAGTTTGCTGCTCTCTCTGCTCCAGCTACACTGGGGATGATCAATCAGAAAAGTACAGTATAATATAATTAAAAAAACAAAACAGAACAAAAAAAACACTCGTTGCCATCAAGTCGATTTCCTGGTGACCCCACATTTCAGAGTAGAACTATACTCCATAGAGTTTTCAGTGGCTATAATTTTAAGGAAGGAATCCCTGGGTGGCACAGACAGTCAGTCACTGGAATACTAGCTGAAACGCTGGCAGTTTGAACCCACCTAGAGGCACCTCGAACCCACCTAGAGGCACCTCAGAAGATAAGCCTGGCGATCTGCTTCAGAAAGGTCACAGCCTTGAAAACCGAATGGAGCAGTTCTACTCTGCGCACATGGGGTTGCCATCAGTCAGAATCGGTTCGACGACAACTAACAACAATCTTATGGAAATAGATCGCTAGGCTTTCCTTCTCTGGCACTGCTGGGTAGATCCAAACCACCCACCTTTTGGTAAGTAGTCGAGTGCTTAACCATTTGTGCCACCCAGCTTAATGTTATAATAAATTTCACGTATTTGTTGAGTGCCATCTCTGTGATCACCAGGGAGTTGATTCTGTGGGTGCAATTAATATACCTGGTTGATAATCTGAGATACTGAAAATGGCATGTGAAGCAACCTGCTGAGAGCTATGAAGTGTCACACTAACTAGTCTTGACTAAGGAACAGGAAGGAAGCACTGGTGGTGCAGTGGTTAAGCCCTTGGCTGCTAACCAGAAAGTCAGTGGTTTGAACCCACCAGCTGCTCAACAGCAGAAAGATGTGGCAGTCTGCTTCTGTAAAGATTACAGCCTTGGAAACCCTATGGAGCAGTTCTGCTCTGTCCTGTGGGGTCACTATGAGTTGGAATTGACTTGAAGCAATGGGTTTTGGTTTTGGTTTTAAGGTATAGGAATTATAGAGAAGGAAGTAGATATTTATATTTCCAAAATTTGAAAAATTCCTTAGCTTTGCTTGGATAATCTCCTGGAGATGTGATTTTTGAAGTGTTGTATATTGTGGGGTATAGAAAGGATAAGATGGAGGAAAGGTTTAATCTGTACTTTAGAATTAAAATGTGATTTCTATTTTGCAACTCTTCCAAATACAGTCTGCCTTAAATTCTGTCTCTTACATTACTGTGGACATCTTTCTCAGTGTTCCATGAAACTCTTTCTTCCTAGTCTACCATAAATTGTACACTAGTTGTATGTAAATTTAGAGAAGGGCCTAAATCTGCTTTGTGCTCTATAACAAATTACTGGTTTCAAATGAGATAAAATTTACTTGAAAGCTTTTAGAAAAAGCTGTCAGTACAATAGCCCTGCAAATTCATATTATCACTACTTATAATAGTATGTGCCATATACTTGCAGCACTATAGCACATAGACCTGCAAGGGAGAAGGGATACCCACGTGGTCACTCAGAAATATTTAACAAGAAAGAAAAATCGTATATACTGGATGAGTCTGATATAAATCCACTCTTTAGTGTATTCTAGGTTTTCCTAAGAGATCTGAAGGAATTTGATGTTTAGTTTTTAACTTTAGGAAATATTTTAATATAGTAATAGGAATATATTTACTACATATCAACTATATTCTTACCAAAGGAAAAAAAAAAAGACAAAGTAAATTGATTCCTATCCCAGGGAATTTGGAAGCTCAGATTTGCTGATTTTGTGTAAAGATTAAATTTAAGAATGACCCTTTCTCTGACCTTTGAGAATCTGCATTTGTTTCCCAGTTCCAAGATTTGGAAGTGAAAAGACATATGCTATAATACAAATTTGATACAATAATCATCATTATTTGCAATCATATGTGATTGCCTTGGAGGTGTCGGGGGTAGTGTCACACTCCTGTGAAACTTCATATACTTACTTTTCCTCTTCAGATGGGGGCGGAAGGCATGGAAGGAGGTGCGTCAGGAAGCCAGCATTCTCGGAAACTTGTTAGCTTTACACTCTCAGGTAAGTATGTCTTTAAACATGGCATCCAGTTTCAAAGGGTGTAATTTCAAAGGCATGGATGTTCACTTCTTTCTACAGATTCTCATATAGATGTGAGCTAGTGGGTATTTTGTTTTTGCTTTGGCTAATTTGGAAATTCAAGTATATCACTTACCATGATAAAATTCAATTATTAATATAAATTCAGAAATTATTTTTTCTACCAAGTTTTCTGGTGATAAAAAGACTTTATAATTATGTGTAGTTGCTTTAAAAAAATAAACTATACTGTATCGTGTGCTAATTCCATGAAGAGTTTTGATTACTGAAAACAATTTACGCTTACCTCATCTAGAGAAAGGAAAAAATTAAAGACTAGGAAAAAAGCCAGGGGATATGTTTGTTTCTGTGGAGGAATATACATTGGAAAAGTGGCTAAAGACAATTTTTGGTTGTTTTCTGGTTAGTAAAATATCCCAGTTGCAGCTTTATCATACAACTTAACGCAGTGCTTTCAAGTTGTGAGTTAGGACTCATTTGTGGGTTGTAAGATCAATTTAAAGAACCCTGGGGGCTGCTAGGAAGAGCTGTGGTGGCACAGTAGTTAAAGTGCTCGGGTGCTAACTGAAAGATTGGCAGTTGGAACCTACCAGCCACTCTGTGGGAGAAAGATGTGGCAGTCTGCTTCCGTAAAGATTTACAGTCGTAGAAACCCCACAGGGCAGTTCTACTCTGTCCTGTAAGATTGCTATGAGTTGGAATTGACTCAGTGGAGTGGGTTTTTTGGGTGGGTAGCTGCTAACCAAAGGTTGACAGTTCAAACCCACCCAGCAACTTTGTGGGAGAAAGACCTAGCCATTAGCTCCCATAAAGATTACCACCTAGAAAACCCTATGAGGCAGTTCTGCTCTGTCACATGGAGTGGCTATGAGTCGAAAATCGACTAGACGGCATCTAATAAGATCTATTTAGTTACTTGAAACTAGCAATTAAAAAAAAAAAAGGAATACAATGCAAAATATCAGTTTACCACCAAAGTGAAGTATGTTTTTATAAAACATCAGTTTATATAAACTGATCATTAAAAAAAAAACTACACATCTATGTATATGTGTACTAGATTGCAATGTAAAATGTATTTCGTATGTAGGAAATATAAGAAACAAAGTTTGAAAGCCACTGATTAAGGAAATTAATTGACATAAAGCCAAGAATATCCTAAGAAAATCAGTATTTGAAATGGAGTTTTGAACAGCAGTACAGTGCATACAAGGAACCCTGGTGGCGCAGTGGTTAAGTGCTTCACTGCTAACTGAAAAGTGGGCAGTTCGAACCCACCAGCCACTCCACTGGAGAAAGATGTGGCAGTCTGCTTCCATGAAGTTTACAGCCTTGGAAACCTTATGGGGCAGTTCTGCTCTGTCCTAGAGGGTTGCTATGAGTCGGAATCAACTCGATGGCACACGACAACAAGGCCTGCAAAATAAAAGTCTAACAGATTTCTGTCACTGTAAGATGTTCTGTTTTCATTTTTCCATAGATGTAGTGCTTCTGAACTTTAAATTAGATTCACTTTTCTTGACTGCAAAAAATGTAATGAATGAAAATAGACTTTCTCAAGAGAGAGTTAGAAGACCTGATCTTGAAAACAGACATTTACACAATGCATAATTTGCACGCGTGAAGAGAGTGTGCACATTAGTTCATCACTAGTCCATAGGTTCTGAATATCTGTTTATTGTTACATGTTTCTTCTCTCCTCATCTGAGGTTGCTTATTATGAAAGTTTTTTTTACTTCAGTTCTCTGGTGAATCTCAGAGGTTGTAAACTGGTGGCTTATAGTTGAAATGGTTTGGCCAATAACCGTGTTTTATTTGGAACCCTTAGGGCTTTAAAAATATCTAGATTTTTTAGAAGGGCATTTAGAAGTACCACTGCCTGTGGTACTACTTCTCTAACCTCATTCATTATCTGAAAACACTGCCAATTGCAATCAGTGCTTTAGACTTTCACAGTCCCAAGGGCCAGCAGATACAGAAATCTCTGGTCTGTAGGTAGGGAACAATTAGCCAACCCCGACAGCTTAAAAAATTTAGAGTTTGACCATGTCACGAGTTTCTTAGTTTAGGATCATCGCTCTTTGCATTCAAGTAATAAAATACCATACCATTCTAATCTGATAATCACATACTAATTTTTTACTCCAGAAGGGTTGTTATTAACTCACCATGGGAGAATGACCATCTGGAAGTTGAGAATCCTATGGCATTTTCCTAAGAAGTAGGAAATAAGCTTTGGGGCATAGCCCAAAGCTGCTTCTTTAAATATGACTTCTTCTAACACCCCAGCTTTATACACATGGAGGCTAGGTACCTAACATCTGTGTTTTTCCTGCCATGTAGCTAGACGTTTGTAGATAGTGTACGGAAATGGCTAAAACTTATAGGCGTTGAAAACATTTTTATAATTAATCTGGTTGTAGCATATTGACAGTGGATGATAATATTTATCTGAGAGCATTTAAGCACTGTAGAATGGCTGCCTACAAATGTTCTATTCTTAATTATCTATGGATAAGTAGGAACACACATAATTGAACTCTACAGCTAAAACAAAAACTGTGTTTTGATTAATATCTTAAATCTGCTCCTCAGATAAGACTTTAAACTAGGATATTTAATATGCCATACCTTTGCGACTTTGAGTCTTTCTTTGGCCTGTTATGTGGTGTGATATTTATAAACAGTAAAATATATAACAGACAAAAGAGAGAAGCAAGGAGCAAAAATGAGATGAGTAAAGTAAACTGAGTAATCAGACCAAAAATAATTGGTAGTTTATTGTATTTATTAATGAAGGTTTATTTGCATACAGTGTCCCATTGTGGAAAAATTAGATATTAGGATTATTTGAGCAGTGATGTCTTCCATCACAGTGGCTTAATCTTCTGGTAGAGTGCTTTTTATTCAAACGGATGTTTTGCTTGAATGATTCAGCTCTGTTGAACTTTGTGGTAGCTATTTATCTACATGTTATTCCTCATTTACTGTAGAAAAATCCGTTATTTGGAAGTAGATTTAATATCGAAAGAATATCATTCTTCTGTCTTTGAGTACTAGGTGAACATAATCAAAAAGGGCAAGAATATAAATGTGTAAATTGTGTTTTCCTCTCAAAGCAACTTTATGCTAAAGTAAGCCAGGTGGAAACATGTAGCATTATTAAGCTGACAGTAAAATGTAAGTGCTGCATTAATAATGACTACATAGTTTATGAAGAGCCTGGAATTGGGACTGTAAGGCTAATGAGATTATGGCAGCTTCTCTGAAGTGCCTATCTAGTTCTTTACCCTTCTTCACCTTCTCCTGCGGGTTTTCTGATCAAAGACCTTACTGTATTTTGTGTAGTGGTCTTCACATAAGGTCTTCTTGGTTGGATTTTTCAGTCTTTGCTAACTTATTAAACTACTACCTTCGGCTACCACATATGAGGCCTTAGGTAATCCTAATCTGTTTTCATCACATGTACCTGGGCCACGAGTTCTATGTGTCATTGCTGAGCCTCCTCCAGGGAGTGCTCCCTAGAGAATATGCTTCTGTGGGTAACCCAATACCATTTCTGTCCTTCTAAGAAAGACCTTGTGTTTTAGGACTGGCCTTGCATGGGATAACCCTGGTGCCCTCCTATAATTTACAGTCACTATATAGAGTTTGGAGCCCTGGTGGCGCAGTGGTTAAGAGCTTGGCTGCTGACCAAAGGATTGGCAGTTCAAATCCACCAGCCACTCCTTGGAAACCCTATCGGGCGGTTCTACTCTGTCCTATAGGGTTGCTATGAGTCAGAATCGACTCGATGGCGGGTTTGGTTTGGGTTTTTTAATACAGATTTTAAGGAGCCCTGGTGGCACAGTGGTTAAGCACTCAGCTGCTAACCAAAAGGTTGGTGGTTCGAACCCACCAGTTGCTCCTTGGGAGAAAGATGTGGCAGTCTGTTTCCATAAATATTACAGCCTTGGAAACCCTATGGGGCAGTTCTACCCTGTCCTACAGAGTTGCTGTGAGTCAGAATCGACTCGACGGCAGTGGGTTTGGTTTTGGTTTATACAGAGTTTAAAGAGCCCTGTTGGCACAGTGGTTAAAGCACTTGGCTGCTCTCGACTGTTAACCAAAAGATTGAGGGTTCAAATCCACCAGCTGCTCTGTGGGAGAAAGATGTGGCAGTTGGCTTCTATTCAGTTCTGCTATGTCATGTAGGGTCACTATGAGTAGGAATCGACTTGATGACAATGGGTTTGGTTTTTGGAATACAGAGTTTAGGAACCCTTGTGGTGCAGTGGTTAAAGCACTTGACTGCTAACCAAAAGGTTGGTAGTTCAAACACACCAGTGGTTTCATGGGAGAAAAGACTTGGTGATCTGTTCCTGTAAAGATTACAGCCTAGGAAACCCTATGGAGCAGTTCTACTCTGTTAAATAGGGTCTCTTTGAGTCAAAATTGACTCTGTGGCACCTAACAACAACAATATAGAGTTTGCTTCCCAGCTGACCTAGGCAACCCAAAGTTCTTTGAAGATTCAGGGGCCATCTGCAGAATTTCTATCTGAATCAGTGTTTAGGACCTCCCTAGACAGAGCGTAACCATATAAGGTTACCTAGAAACCATATTCTTTCCAGAAGCTTTCAAGATTGGTCAGCTCCCAGTCCCACCTTATTCAAATTGATATTCTTAGAAAGATATTGGGAACCCCTGTGGAGCCAGCTTTATTTCCTGACTTTTTTATATCCCTTAGCCTGGGCATTTTTAACAGTGTCAGTCTCCTCGCTAAAAAGACTTTATCCAGGTTTTAGCAGCTCACACAGTATGAAACAACAACTGGTGAATCTAGATGAGTTACAGGACATTCATCAAATATTTAAGTTAACTTTACAGGCTATTGAAAAAGCAACGTCATGGTTATTTATAAGAGCAGGTAACATTCAAATTTTGGAAGTATTTCTGGTCTCTTTTTTTCTCCCTAACATTCATCACATTTGTGGAATCTATTTGATATTTTAAGTGTAGTACAAATGAATGTGTTCTCTGAACTTTCAAAATAATATGGATGTACTACAGTCAACTCAATTTGTTCACTCATCCCCAAATATACTTACTCTAAACCCATTTCTTGTATGTATGTGGAAGATTCAAAGGAACATGTTGGTTTTCTTCTGTTAATAAACTCTTTACTAAGGATTTCTCTCAAGACACTGTCTGAAATGTTGGCTGCCAAACTACAGTTGTCCTAGGAGAAAAGTGGTGAAGATGCACATGTTGGAATCAAAAAGGTTCTCAGGAAAAGTCAGTTTAGGCATGTGAGACAGTGGTGAGGGCATGTTTCATTTCTGCAGCCTGTTAGGAGACCTTCTGCTGGAATTACTGCCTTAACCCACCTGTCTTCATGTATCTAAGAAGTCATTGTGTGAGTAGGATTGTTATGGTTTTACAGGCTAGTTTCTGTTTAGAACTACCTGTGTGATTATTTAAGAACAAATTGTCATTGAGCTGCTTGTTCTAATCAGGATATATGGATCTTTCTCTCCTCCTTTTCCTCTCTACCTTCCTTCTCCGTCTTCTCTATTTCTCTCTCTCTCTTTAAAGATCTTAGGGCAGTTGGGCTAAAGAAAGGCATGTTCTTCAATCCTGACCCGTATCTTAAGATGTCCATCCAGCCAGGTAAGAAGAGCAGTTTCCCCATCTGTGCCCACCATGGGCAGGAGAGAAGGTCTACTATCATCAGTAACACCACTAATCCAATTTGGCACCGAGAGGTAAGGGGTCTTCTACTTGACAGTTAAAAAGTCTGTAAAATTCATCTCTTTCTTCTGGCCTATGGGAATTTTGGAGCTATTTATGGGTATGGGCACGGTGGCTAAAATCTCTAGGGGTTCTGTTAGAAATAGGGTACAATAAGAATGAGATATTCACTTCTAGCCAGGGCCAGGACTGGGGTGAGATGAACGAGGCACTCACCTCAGGTGCATCATTTAAAAGGGCACCAAAAACTGAGTAACCAAGATAAATCACATTTTAATGTACCATTAAAAAAAATAATTCAAAAGATCCAGGATGAGCAAAATGTCCAAATTTTAAATAAAGACAGGATTAGGAACAGTGCATTGCTGAGCCATATGGGAGTCTGGAGCAAAAGGAAAAATCAGTAATACTGATCCTGTCTGTATTTAGGATTTTAGTATTTTCTTCTAGCATATATTCAGTATACATTAAAGGAGTTTCTCTCCCTAAGGGCTTTGGTAAATGTTCCATGGATTTCTAGACTTCTGTTAATTCGATGAGCCATTCAAGCAGTCATCAGCCCCAGTGAGGCCAGATTGTGTTGATTTCATTTTAGACTTCTTCACAACTACCAGTCATTTTAGTGCACCATTTCATTGAAACAAAGAAGGGCTTTCTCATTCCAAAAAACCAAACCAAACCCATTGTTGTTGAGTCTGTTCCGACTCAGAACGACCCTATAGGACAGGTTAGAACTGCCCATAGGGTTTCAAAGGCTATAAATCTTTACGTAAACAGACTGCCACATCTTTCTCCCACAGAACATAGCTGATGGGTTCGAACTGCAGACCTTTCAGTTAGCAGCCGAGTGCTTAACCACTGCACCACAGGGCTCCTTGGGTTTTCTCATTAAAACTACATAAAATTGAAGAAGGACTTTCTCTTCTAGGGAGCAAATCATGAGCTCTCCAGCCATTTCTGAGGCGTCTGAGGCAGATTTCACAGACTAGTGTTAGAGAGTTGCTGTGTAGACCTTTATTGGCATATGTGTCACACAATTGATTAGCTCACACCTGAAATGTTTAATGACAACAGTGTGTTCTAACAGTGTTATAGAAATATTTAATTGGAGAGGGAGATCATTTTAGAGCTATAAAACCAACTGGAGAAAAGATGTGACTATTTGAGGTGTCCTAAGGAGCCCTGGTGGTGCAGTGATTAAGTGCTCAGTTACTAACCGAAAGATCAAGCATTTGAACCCACCAGCTGCTGTTCGGGAGAAAGATGTGACAGACTGCTTCCATAAAGATTACCGCTTTGGACACCCCATAGGGCAGTTCAGCTCTGTCCTACAGGGGCACTATGAGTCACGATTGTCTCAGCAGCAATGGGTTTTAACACAGCAAGATATTTGTCTTGGACAGTTCATATGGTTATTTAAGTGGATGAATATTGCATGTATCCTTGAACTTGGTTTAAAAAACTCCTATGATCTCATATGGTAAATAACTTTTAAAGGCGTACCACCGGACCTAACACATTTAAAAGCCTTGAAAAAATGATATAAATCTCAATATGAGCTGTAGGTGTACATGGTAGATAATAATAGTAATAACCTTATTTTCCTAACATTTATATTTACAAAGTTCTTGACCTTGTTACCAGTACAAGCCTCATCAGTGAGTATAATAGACAAAATTATTATCTCTCCATTTTGGTGATTAAGAAACTGAGGCTTAAAGTGTTAATGAGACTGACTATTCATAGGCAGAGATGGAGCTTAAACTCAGCTTTCTTATTCTAAGTCCAATTACCATCAAGTCGATTTCAGCTGGTGACCATAGGGTTTTCCGTGGTTAATTTTTAGAAGTAGATTACCAATCCTTTCTTCCTAGGTCCTCCAGCCTTTCCTTTAGTAGCACGGCACTTCACCCATTTGCATCACTGAGGGACTCCATATTCTAAGCAAGTGCATTTTCCATTAATCAGACTGCCAAACTGTATGACCCTTGGGAGAACTTGAATTGTTTTTGACTAAATAGACTTTGTAACGTAAGTATAAAGCTGGGTAGCACTATTAACGTCACTATGGTTGCGTGAATACTGTCATGGAAGGGGTGAAATGATTTAGGTTAGATTCCTGGTTCCATCATTTACTTACCCTCAGACCCTCATCTCTAAAAAGAAATTTTTATCTTTGAAAATAAAAAATGATGATAATATATGTAAAAATATTTGTAAATGAGTATTTTATTTTCTATCCATATATAAAGCTCTTTATATTTATTGTATATCCTTGTGAATGTTCAATCCGATTTTAAACCAAAACAGCAAAGCCTATCTTAACTTCATACTTTTATTTTTCTATCCCAGAAGAAATTATTCCTGTGCCCTTTAAACTTAATTAGTAATTTCATTTAAACAGCATTTTATTTCAGCATTATCAAGGAAACCATAGTATTCTGTAGATGTTCTCATTTTAACCACCAGGTGAAGAAGTGTTTTAAACTATGTTTTGCAACTTCAAAATTCCATGAGATTAGGAATTCAATTTGTGGCTAATCAACGTAGTTAATTCTAAACCATCCTCTAACAGGATATTGAATTTCCAAGAATTAAGATATAATAAATATAGTTAGTACTAAAATCATATTGTGCATAATTTACTGTTTAGTATCTCCTAAAACAGTTGAACCAGGAAGGAGTGGATGGTTGACTGATGAGACTTCTTTTGTGATACAGACCTTAACTGGTGCTTTTTAAACATTGTGAATGCTCATTACTTTGTGTGCATAAAGGTTAACAATAGCTGCAGATATTTCTAGCAATGTGGACTCTGTATAGCATTAGGATTTAAGAGAGACTGTTTACTATAATAATAAAGTGATATATAATATTGGTCTTTCTTTTGAATCAACATATCTGGGTTTTTGTTTTCCAGAAATATTCCTTTTTTGCACTTCTAACTGATGTCTTAGAAATTGAAATTAAAGACAAATTTGCCAAGAGCCGTCCTATCATCAAGCGTTTTCTGGGGAAACTAACCATCCCGGTCCAGAGACTATTGGAGCGGCAGGCCATCGGGTAATCAGCCCTTACCCTCAGGGATGGTGTTAAGATTGGCTATTGAAATGATACTTGTAGTCCCAGAATTTTTCTTACTGATAAAAGTGGTAACATAAGTCTTAAAAATAAAAGTGCCTTTATACTTACTAAAGTGTGCTGGAAAAAAAAGCAGTTTGTTCTAATTATGTACTTTTTTTTATTTTTAACTTTTCCAAGATGTGCTTACCATGAGTATTCCAGTGTTAGACCTCATAGTGTTAAATTGTTTTTGCATATCTTGAAATCTTGTTATAAAACCTTCTTCTTAGAGCAGAATTCAAGTGTAAGGTTGACACCTACCTTATTCTGAATAATCCTATCCAGAGAACTTTTATTCTAGCAAAACCAAAACATTCTTGTTTTAAGAGCTATTTGAAAGAAGACCTAGACTCTGAAGAGCTCCTAGACATAAGCATTCATTCAGGCAACTAAACTTTATTCATTGAATTTTAAAATGTGATTTCATGTGTTTTCTTTCTGTGAGCTTTTGTAAATTGTGAATAAAGTAGTTAAGAAATCATAACATGCTTCCATCCTTTATTGTAAATGTTGTATGTATTTTTACCTGGTCAATACAGACAAACTCAATAACACTAGTGCTATGAGGTAGCATTGAAGGAGCATCTTGTTTTGTAATTTTTTTCAGTGTAGCAGCACATGATGAACATATGGTAATAGTGCTAGTAGTAGCAGTAGTAGTAGTAGCAGCAGCAACAGCAGCAATGATAATTACCCAAGATGCTGAGAGCTTACTCTATGTCAGGGGTTAAGTACATGACTCTCATGAGCACATGAGATCTCAGCAACCCTCGGAGGTAGATTCTGTAATTCTACCCATTTCAGAGATAAGGAATCTGAAGTGAGCAAGTAGATAGTGGGGCTGTAATTTGAACTCACATTTGCCTACTCTAGAATCCTGGCTTCTCTGCAACACTTTAAGGACTGACAGTAATGGAACATCACTCTAGCTAGGTGAGAAAGATTCATCGTTGGTATTTATTCTGCAGCTAATTAACTAATTTTGGCAAGTCACAATATTCTTGGACATTAGTTTCTTCATCTGAAAAATAAAGTTTTCAGAACAGATTATCTCTAAGACCCCTTCAAAATCTGAAACTCAGTAATTGTAATGGATTCTAATTCTCTGACTATCAAAGGTAATAGATTTTGTGGTTGAACAAAACCATATCAAGTAGAAATATTATACTGAAATTCTAGCAGCCTTGTTTATCTGATAAAAGCTGGAAAATCACAATTATTTTTTGTGTTGCTGGGTTTCTTTGTTCCAATTAGTTTTCTGTGCTGAGTCATTTTTCTTTATGTATTTTCTTTGGGATCCTTTTTATTGTTGTTAATTTTGTATTTGCTGAGTCTTTATGTTTTTCTTGTTTTTTATTTTGATTTGTAGGATTGTTGGTTTCCTTTGTGGTTACCTTAATATTACCTCTGTTTTTCTAAGTTTAAACCAGTCTTTTATTTCTTTATATCGCCTTGACTTCCTCTCCACGTGAAAGATCTATGACTACATTATTTAGTCCCTCTTTTTTGTTTTAGTGTTGTCATCTTTTACATATTGACATCTCTTTTTCCCTATTTTCAGTGTTTTAGCTTTGATTTATTTTTGACTTCCCTATCTGGGTTGATATCTTGTTGCTCTGTCCTGTGTTCTAGTCTTGGGTTGTTGTCTGGTGTTATTGATTTGCTAACCAGAGAACTCCCTTTAGTATTTCTTGTAATTTTGATTTGATTTGTACAAATTCCCTAAACTTCTGTTTATCTGGAAATGCCCTAATTTTGCCATCATATTTAAAAGACGGTTTTGCTGCATATATAATTCTTGGCTGGCAATTTTTTTCCTTCAAGGCTTTATATATGTCATCCCACTGCCTTCTTGCCTGCATGGTTTCTGCTGA